CTCAGAGCCTCCTCCCGGGCCAACATCACTTGGTGCTCCTTCCTTAGCGCCCCAAGCTCGCCTTCCATTTTGCTCAGAGCCCCTTCTCGGATCGACAGCAGGTCCTTCAGGCTCTTGTTGTCCACATCCCTAATTTTAACATCCTCAATGAGCGCGTCCGTCACCCGCCGTCGTTGGGCATGAATGATCTGTCCCTCTAGCAGGGCCTGAAAGTAACAGACAGAGTAAGATACGCTAGGGCAGGGAAAGAACATAAGTATGAGAAAACTGACCTCAAAAATGTGTCGAAGATAACGCTCTTGCAGCATGTTGACATCTATGGCGGCGAGGTGTTCCAAGTCCGCAGGAGGAGAAATACGAGCAGCATACTCAACCGCATCAAGAGTTTTATTTATTAACGATACTCCCGGTGGCACGTCCGCTCCCAGTCGGATCAAGTTGGTCCGAACACGCGAGCCGGACTCAAGGGAAGTGTCTCCTTGCACCTCGGGGGGTTGAGGGGAAAAGGTAACAGACGTGGGTGTGCGAGTTGATGGAGGCTGCGTCACCCCCTCGGCGACCTTGGATGGAGAAGGCGTAGGTGTGCGAGTTGATGGAGGCTGCGTCACCCCCTCGGCGACCTTGGATGGAGAAGGCGTAGGTGTGCGAGTTGATGGCTGCGTCACCCCCGCGGCGACCTTGGATGGAGTAGGCGTGCGTGCCGGCGGGGGCGACATCACCTCCCCGGCCGCAGCTTGGCTCTTTTTACCTTTCTCTACCTCGATCTTCTTGACGGGGGGATCTTGCGATCATGACAAGTATCGACCGGTTCTCGAAGACGAAGACATGGTACCTGCAACAAAAGAAGACAAGTTAGAGTTAGTGGTTGATGAATAAAGACTAAGTGATAACAGAAGAATACCCGTGAGTGCAATAGCAGCAGGTTGAGTCCTCACGAAGCCTAAGCCCGCGAGCTTCCACTCGGTAGTGTAATCAACGATCGATAAAAGACCATCCCCTAATAAATCATCTACATCTCGGCGGAGGGAAGGACTCATGTCGAGGGTAGGAGGGCAACGTAAATGGGATCCCCACGTGACACGAAAGGGAGACGGACAACCCACAAGGGTGACAAAGACGTTTTTGGGTTCCCAATCCTTGTTAAAAGTAGGACGGTCCTCAAAGAGTTTGAAATGCGGCCTGCTCGAAACCCTACCAACTATGAAAAGAGCCTGGAAAAGATCTAGCGTGGGTTCTATCCCTTTGTCCTTACATATAGAAAGAAAGCCCGCAATCACCTGGTGACCATTGGGAACAAGCTGGCCGGGGGCTATCTCGTAGTGGTTCATAAAATCTATCACAAACTTATGAAGGGGAAACCGCAACCCAACCTGTAGCGACAGAAGGTGGACCCCAAAATACTTATCGAGGGGTGGATCGGAGATATTACCTTGAGGGTTAAGAGGAAGAGTCAGAACGTCAGGACTAAGGAGACCTCTAATATCATCCCAATCCCGTGACCCTAGTTGAGGCCGTATGGACAGGACGAGGGACTTATCAAGAACGGAATATGAGGCCTTGCGCTTTTTCTTCTTTTTCAGTTCGGGCCTAGGCGTGGGTGAGTCAACAACAAATGGAAGAGGGGGAAAATTTGCAAAAAGAGGGGAATCATGCTCAAGAAGGTATTCCTCATCAAAATCAAGTTCTCCGACATCAATCAAGGGAGTAACATCCATTATAAGCAAAAGACACTAACCACACCTCGGTTATCGCAAAGACTTGGGTACAAAAACTGCCTGTCAGGAAAATAGCATATTAAAAAAAAATAATAGAGAACCGAGTCCTCGGCCACGGATTGGCCGAGACACAACTCGGGTGGCTGAGGCGTGCCTCGGCCGAAGAGCCGAAGCCCGCCTCGGCCATGCAAAAAAAAAAAAAAGGGGGTCGAGGCGCACGCCTCGGCCACAAGCCGAGGCGCAGCGCCTCGCATCCAAAAAAAAAAAGGTCAAACAGACATGTATACGCATATATATTAAATACATAAATAAATCGTAAAATATTAATGACAGCGGAGACTTACAGAGCTGTGGCAGAAGTTGATGAAGAGGTGATCTCAAACTGCTCAGAGGCAAGGGTTTATATTGGAGAGGATCCTGGGATAAAAAACTTAAGTGAATATCATTAGAAGCAGGAAAGGATTGGGAAAGCACAAATCAGGGATTTGGAAAGCAAAAATCAGGGATTTCGAAAATAAAATCACATATCCTAAATCAATCAGGATTCTACACAGGATCAAAATAAGATTCAGCTTTACTCCCAAGTCAACTCAAACACATCCGTTGACTAGGAGTAGGGGGGACTGGTGACAGGATAATAGGGCTGGAACCCGACCCGGATCACAAGTGGGCATCCAACCCGGCACCACATGAAAACCAACGGGCAGAACCTTAACGGACAGAATTCCAACAGATGCCTCCTTTACTGCAATTGAAGCCAGCATTGAAGCCCCCATTGATGAGAGAGAATTAAAATTAAAGCTTAGGCTCCCCATTTATGTCCCATGTTGTTACCGTTAGGACCCTAGTATAAATGGGGTTCTCCTCAGCTAGCAAAGGACACACTGTATTTTCTATACTGAAACTAAGGCAATACAACTATTGTTACTCTCTCACATTGCGTTAGTATAATATTATTATTACCGGTAACATTATTACCGTCAGTAGAAAATAAAGATAATATAACTAATGAAATTATATCTCTTTAAAATTTTGTATAATGAATAATTTTTTTTTTTAAATAAATGCATTATAGACATCTAAATCTAAATTAATTAAATGCATATGTATTATTTTTTGTTGTAGATACTAATTTATTTAATTTAATAAGAGTAATAAAGTGGCGTACATACTTTTCATCAACAATATGAAATCATTGATTTTTTTTTTTTAAATTTACATTCGTTGTTGAGACAAATTGTTTTAAGAGTGTGTCAATGACAATTGTTACAATTTATGTCAATAGAGGATGATAATAAATAACTCAAAATATATAGTTAAAATAGATATTGTTATAATGATATAGTAAAAATAAACTTACAAATTTATTTAGAAGTTTTCATGCATTGATAAAATTTTGATATGTAAACTTGTTCAATTGGAGCCAGTGGGATGTCAACATTGTCAATTCTTTGGAAAATGGTCCTACAATTTTAGAGTCCAGATGTAATTGTATTTATGATCAATAACTTTGTAGTTAGGTCGCGCAGGTATGTAAGAACAATTTTGTCCGATAAAAAAAATATAATATTTGTAAAGTAATGTACAATTGTACCATTATAAAAATACATACAAAAAATTTTGATACCATAACAACCTAAATCATACCAATAATGCAAAAGTATAATTAAAATATTAAGTTTTGTTCTGATCTAAATAATCAAAAGAAGATTAATTAAACAAAAAAAAACAATTAATCTAAATTTTTTTTTTAAATGCATAAAAATTAAATGATTTTTAAAGTTCTTCATTTATAATCTTTGATGCTTAACTTTGAATGTTATGTATTTAGTCGGACTAATTATTTGACCAAAGTTTATGTTAAATTTTATATTATATATATCTACTATACTAATAAGAGCCCAAGAGAGTGCCTATAATGGGTAAAATTTTTAATCAAATGAATGATTCAGATTCATTAAATTTTAATTTTTTCATCAAATTTTAATTTTTTCTTAAAATTTCCTAATTTATCCTTAATGAATATGACGAAAGGTTTGGTTAAAAAGGCTAGCTTAAGGTAAAATTTTAATAAGCTTTAAAAATGAATGAACGAAAATATGACTTATATTTTACTCATATATTTTTATTTAACTTTTTAAATTTACGTATTTTTGTGGTATGAAATAATGTCTATGATCCATATGATGTCCCTTTCATTTGTGAAATTGTACCATAAATCTTGAATTCAACATTTAACTTAGAATTTTACTTGATTTTATGTTATGCAGCAATTACGTCCATTAATTAGGTTATTTAATCAATTGTAAATAACTGAAATTAAAAATATAAAATAAAACAAAGAACACAATGAAATTGTTATGTAGTTCGGAGCGTTTCTCCTGCGGGGTAACCCACGTCTGCCCAATCCACTATAGATGTTCACCAATGAGTTATACAATAGGTAAGTACAAATGGCTATCAGCCGTTACTACCACAACCCTTCCTAACACCTACTCAATATTGAACCGTACATACCATAACAATCTTCAAGCGAAGCTTCAACTGACTCAGGTACAAAACCCCACAAATTAAAGAATAATATAATAAACAGATTAGTATGATAGGTTTTGTGTAGAATTCCTTTTTCCCAAATTAGCAGTTCTTAAATCCGTAAGTGACAAATGAAGAAAGTGCTTTCCTTTTATATGTGTAGACTTTAACACCTTTCCCTAAGAATAGCCCTCCATTGCCACTCAAAATAATCAACAGCTCACCATCACTTATTTTGTCCACGTAAATAGCCTTTCATAGCGCTAACTTCATTCTTTTAAAACCATTCTGTTTGCATCTTGACCGTTGATGTAGTTTCACAAAAAAAAAAAAAAAAAAAAAAGAGACAGCCCAAGGTTTTTATTATAATTTAAACAACATCAAATTGTCACATAAATTGCCAATTTACATAGGATTAACGTGTACTACACGTACACTAACAATTTGTATCCAAAAAGGACAGATGAGAGTAGAGGTACGTAATGGTGTTTCAATGTCAAATGTCGTGAACCACTAGTAAAGTGCTAAATGTTAGATTAATTAATGGGATAGCTAGATAATGGCACTGTTTGGACATATTAAGGAACTGGTGGTTCACAAGCTAAGGTAGCTAGCAGGGTTAGCATTACGAAAATCAAGTTATCACCTACCGCTGATCATGTGTGTGTATATATATATATAAGCTAATTCATACTTAGCTTGCAGTTGAAGATCGAAGCTAATTATTTAAGGTACCTGTTTATTGTAGTACAGTGGAGCTGAGAAATTAAAGATCATATCGTGGTTGATCTATCGGAGGATGTGGAAGTTGAAGATTGCGGAGGGGAAGGGGCGGTGGCTGACGACCACCAACGACCACATCGGAAGGCAACACTGGGAGTTCGACCCCGACGCCGGAACGCCGGAGGAGAGAGCTCAGGTTCAACAAATGCGCCGAGATTTCACCAACAACAGGTTCCGCTGCAAGCAAAGCTCCGACTTGATCATGCGCATGCAGGTTACGTTGCTTAATTGCTTTTTCTTTTTTATATTATATACCATTTAATTATTTACCAATTCGATCAAATTAAACCTCAGCTCCATCGTTTTGTTTGTTCAATTCGTTGGTATGGTACGTCTTCTAAATTTGCAGCTAAGGAAGGAGAAGCCGTGCGGTGGGATTCCGGCGGCGGTTAAGGTGGAGAAAACGGAGGACATAACCGGAGACGCGGTGAAAACCAGTGTGATAAGGAGCATAAGTTTCTATTCAACCATACAAGGCCGTGATGGGCATTGGCCTGCCGAGTCTGCTGGTCCTTTGTTCTTCCTGCAACCTCTGGTAACACTAATAAATGCATTATTTGATTTACATCCTCTCAGATTCTCTGATCGAGGTGTGGGACCCTTAAGATTAGGGTTCAACCTTTTCGAAGAGTAAATGCATTATTATTGCGCACACATACGTGCCGGCAGCTGCTACTACTGCACGGCGGCCTTCAACCACTTGCCACGTACTTGTATATATTTCTGTATTATTTACTCTTAATTTAGTCAATAATTCACTTGGTAACCATAAGGCCCGCCAGTTACAATTTCATTGACTCTAACCATAAGTACTTTATTGGTATTTTTTGTTCTTAGCTTTGCCTGTTAGGATCACAAGACAGGATTACTCAATGAGTAGTGGTTGTGCCCGAGTTTCCCTCATCACACTATATATACACACACTTTTGTTGGTTGGTTTGTTTGTTTGTTATTTATGTCACTTTACATATTTATACAACTAAGGGTTAAAATTTTGAAATATATTTAAATTGTACAAAAAATCTGATCTTAATGAATTGTGCAGGTAATATCGTTGTATGTCATGGGAATGGTGAATGACGTTTTATCAGCAGAACATCAAAAGGAGATCATCCGTTATATATACAATCATCAGGTTAAAAATGCATGCTTAGCTTTTTTCTTTTCTTTTTTTGAAAGTGGATGGGAAATAGATATTATCAAATTTAAATAAATTAATGTTTTTTTTGAAAATTTAAATAAATTAATGTAATTTATCATCAAATTATAACTGCCGAGTATAATTTAAATTGAATAGTACTCTTATACATACCCGTGATAATGGGATGAATGAATAAGTTAGACAATAGTATTCTTTAATTTCTTTATTATTATTACTAAGCTACTAGCTAGCTATCAAGTCTCATTCTATATAATTTATTATTATTATTATTATTATTTGATTATTATAACTCGATGTTTTTATTAACTAACATTTGAAGATGGTGATGCTTAATTATTAGTTCAAATATATAAATGATTAGGGTAGTTTAAGTTCATTTTAATATTTTTTTTTTAATATTATTTGGGTGGGACCACAGAATGAAGATGGTGGTTGGGGATTTCACATAGAGGGTCACAGCACAATGTTTGGGACGGTTCTGAGCTACATCGCATTGAGACTGTTAGGAGAAGAAGCAGAAGACGACAGAGGAGAGGACACGACTGTGGCTAGCAGCCGCCGGTGGATCCTTGACCACGGCGGCGCGGTTGCCATTCCTTCTTGGGGAAAATTCTGGCTTGCCGTACGCATTAAAGAGTATCATTTATACATATGTTTTTTGGGGAATTCATTTTATTACTATTTTTGTCGAGATACAACGTTATCCCCATTTCCCACGTTTTTTTTTTTTTTTTTTTTTTTGTAATTTTAAATTTTTTTAAAAAGAGTACATTAATGACTTCAAAAAAAAAAAAAGTACATTAATAAATGATTACAGTTGTTCTAATTAATTTTTTCCGGCAGGTACTTGGAGTCTATGAATGGGAAGGGTGTAACCCATTGCCACCTGAGTTTTGGCTTCTCCCTAAATTATTTCCTATTCATCCAGGTTTCCCATTATTAATTTTCATTTCATCAAAATCAGTTTAATTTTTTTTTTTTTTATTTGTGTAACATTTATGTTGGATGCATTTCATTAGTGTCGATCATAAAAAAAAAAATAATAAATAAATAAATAAAGGTCCAATATAGTTGAATTTGGCCGGACTCTCTTTTAAAAAAAATTATGTGTAATATAAACTAAAAAACATAATATTTATTGAAAAACTTTTGGCAACATATATAATAAATATAATTCAAAATTTAACTTTAAAATGACAATTTTTATGCAGATACAAAATCATTTACGAATTTTAATTTTATGTTAATTTCTTTCAGTATTTCATTTTCATTTACGTTTTATATTTTTTGAATGCTACTGACTCTATGACAATGTAGTATCTGTTCATATATATAAAGTCATTATTTTTATACTTGATAAATATGTTTTTAGAACCCATAGACTAGTCTTAATTGTAATTGAAAATAAAATTTTAGAAAGAATTGACTTTGAAATTTTGATAAATATTTTTTTTAATTTAAATATGCACTAAAAATGTAATTTTTAAATAAAATTTTGTATTGTATGTTTTTCTTTGTTGAATTTTTATGCATTATATTTTTACAAAATTTTTATTATTTTTGTTATAGAATATAATAATATAAAGTTCAAATATATTTGGACTCAATTACCTCAGTTCTATTGTTATTTTTCAGAGGTCTTTTAGATAATGTTTCTTGTTTTTCTAAATAGACAAGACCCATATTTTTATTGAAACGACACACACACACACACACGCATGCACGCGCACACACACACACGTGTATATGTGTGTGTGTGTGTGTGTGTGTATATATATATATATATATATATATATATATATATATATATATATATATATATATATATATATCACCCATTATTTTTATAATTATTAGGGGCTCAAACTGTATATAGCTAAGACTTACTTTATATTTTATTGAGCATTTTGTATCCTATATGAATAGTATTTCGACTCATCACATAAAGTTAAACATTATGAAATTTTAATTAAAGACAACCCGTGTATGTAGTGAGAACGATATATCCATATATGATAGAAACAATAGTTAAATTGTGTCAATCTCACAATATTTACAAAAGAAACCTACATGCTTGGATTACAATAATTAGTTTGTTGACTTTATGAAAGCAATTTTGTTCTTATTATAAGTTATATCCCATAATTTCATTTTGTAATTCTTAAACCATCATTTTCAAACCTAAAATAAAACCAGGCCCGGCCCTGGGCAAGGGCAGGTTGGGCCTTGCCCAGGGCCCACACTTGAAAGGGGGCCCCCACCTCAGCTCACTATGTTATATTTATACTATAGAGTTATTGCATAAGTATTTAATATACATCTTTGTTATTGAATTGTTAGTTAGCATAGTTGGTAAGTTCTTTGTTTGCATGTTAAAGGTTTTGGGGGTTGAATCCTTATATGTTCAGTTAAATTAAACTTCACTCTCTACTATTTAGATATATTATTATCTAGTATTAAAATTGTTACTTATGAAATTTATTTCTATTTCAAAAAAATTTGCAACTTTGTGATTTTTTTTTTTACCTTTCTATAATTATAGTGAGATTTATAATATAGACCGAAAAATATTTTAAAAGATAGTTACTTTTATTATGAATTATCTAGTTAATGTAGTTTAGAAATTCTATTGTGTGTCATCGTATTTAAATTAATCTAGAAAAAATTGAGTAGAGGAGGACTAATGGTATCCGGGTTGGACTTCCATTTGGAAGATTATGAGTTCGAGCCTCAGTGGAGGCGTTATTGGTTCTTTGTGTTTCAGTAGGTTGAGAAAGTATATGAACAGATACTACAATGTAATAGAACCAGTAGCTTTCAAAAAAAAAAATTAATCTAGAAAAAATTGAAATTGATATAACTAAAAGAAAAAGTATATGTGGGTTCGAGCCTCAGTGGAGGCGATCTTGTATATGTGATATCTCCTTTCCTTATAATAAAACTAAAAGAAAAAGTATTTATCAATATAGAAGATATGTGATTTATAAAGTGTTTTCTATTCAAACTATTTTATCAAATTAATTATGTTTCATATTTTATTATGAATATCTTTTTTTTTTTTTTTTTTGTGTGTTTAATAGTACTTTTAGTGTAGTTTCTAAATATATAAATTTTTTATAATAATTAAACTTAATATTATGAAAAATTGAATTAAAAATAATTTCATTCAAGCTTCGGAAATCGAAAAAGTATTTATCAATATAGAAGATATGTGATTTATAAAGTGTTTTCTATTCAAACTATTTTATCAAATTAATTATGTTTCATATTTTATTATGAATATCTTTTTTTTTTTTTTTTTTTTTGTGTGTTTAATAGTACTTTTAGTGTAGTTTCTAAATATATAAATTTTTTATAATAATTAAACTTAATATTATGAAAAATTGAATTAAAAATAATTTCATTCAAGCTTCGGAAATCGAATCAGACACATAAAATGGAACGAAAGGAGTATATTAATTTCATATAGGGCCCATTTTTGTTGCTACACCCCGGACCTATAGAGTATTGATGAATGCATGAAAGCTGCAGGAAAAATGCTGTGTTATTGCCGGTTAGTGTACATGCCGATGTCGTATCTATATGGGAAGCGGTTTGTCGGAAAGATAACGTCATTGGTGGAATCATTAAGGAAGGAGATTCATTCCCAATCATATGCTAAAATCAATTGGAACCATGCCAGGAATACTTGTGCCAGGGTAACTATTAATATTTTCGTTTTATATCAACTAGTATTTTCACCCGTGCGATGCACGGAATGGAATTGTTGTAATATATTAAGAATATTTAAATCGATATATAATTATTTAAGAGTTGATTTCACCAGAGGTCGTTTATCTTTCCTGACAATTCCAAATTTAATCCTAAACTATAGTTATTAAATATTACAATTTATTCTATAATTATGTTACAACTCTTACGTTAATATTCTTACTATTATTATTAACACTTAATTACTTTTAGATATTATTATTATTATTATTATTATTATTATTATTATTATTATTATTATTAGTTTCTTTTCAAGTACTGTTAGTATATAATGGTCGTGAGGCACAATAATAATATAACCATAATTAAATATTCTTATATTGTATTCCGGAGTTAAAGCCATTTTTGGTCCTAGACTTAATTGAGGCATTGACACTTTTCATCCTCCATAATAAAAATTGCACTTAGTAGACACTGTTATTGGTCGTTGGACAGTTTTGATCCTCCGTCAATGAAGCCGTTTGTTGACCGTGAATTAGAAGGGCTTTTCTGTCTTTTTATGTCTTATTCTTCTAATCTTGTTTAGACCAGCGCTACTGTGACTCCTGTGAGGCGAGATGGCGAGACTTGGTGGCTAAGTAGTAACCGTCGGTAGTGAGTAGCAGCAAGGTTCTTCTCAGGCGAGTTGTGGGTACGGCGGCGAGCATACGAGACAGTAACTCCTTCCGGCGACGGACCAGTAAGGCAGATCTGGCGGTGCAGCAACAGATCCGGCGAGGTTGGGGCCTTCACCGATGGTTTTTGGTTCCGGCGAAGCAGAGAGGGCAGCAGGTCGGCGAACCCTCCTATGGTAAATAGCAGTTGTAGTTGTAGATGGCGTGATGTAGAATTTGCACCTGTAAGTCCTCCCTTCCATATTGACCACAAATATCCTTCCCATCTCTCTCTCTCTGACCACAACTACTTGGTGCACAACCTCAAAAAATCTGTTATTCTACCTAAAATTCATTGAAGTTTCAAGCTGAAAATGTGGAATCCGTCGCTCCCCAAAAATCGCATTGTCTTAGGTGTTGGAATGGCCGGTGTTGACTTCCTGGCTGCTGTAGCTTCATTCCCCAACCCGGATGATAAAATTCGGAGCACCAGCTTTGAGGTTCAAGGAGGTGGTAACACTGACAATGCTTTGATAAAACCCGGATGATAAAATTCGTCTTGGTCTTAATCCAAGGATCATATCTAAGGTTGCTGATGACTCGCATGGCGAAAGAATACTTGATGAGCTTGAAAGGGATGGTGTTGATACATCTTTTATGGTGGTGTCCAAAGGAGGAAACTCACCATTCACATATGTCATTGTTGACAACCAAAAAAAAAAAAAAAAACTCGCACGTGCATTTTCACTCCAGGATATCCACCCATGATATCTGAGGGTCTACATACCCAAATCAAAATTGTCTTCAGCGCTTGGAGTAAATATTGTCTACTTAGATGGAAGGCTGCATGAGAGTACTTTGATTGTAGTGCAGGAGGCAAAGAGTAGGGGCATACCTATTATAGTTGATGCAGAAAGGTTAAGGGAGGGGTTGGGTGATATTCCTGACTTTGCTAGTTATGTTGTATGCTCGACAAAATTTCCACAGGCATGGACTAACGCCCTTTCTATTCCAACTGCACTTGTTTCCATTATCTTGAGATTGATGTCAAATGTAAAATTCGTGATTGTTAGTTGGGTGAAGATGGTTTCTTAATGTTAGAAAGGACTGAAGCGGATAACCTCAGTTTGAAGAAATGGATGTAGCAGTGACCAATGGATGGAGAAATACAAGGACAAAAAATGCCCCAATAAGTGTCAATGCCCCAATAAGTCTAGGACAAAAAATGGCATTAACTCTTGTATTCCGTGAGTCACAATAATAATATAACAATAATTAAATATTGTTCAATTCTATATTCTTCTCAGATTTCTATTACCATCATTAATTATTCCTAAATTTACCATAATTAAATAATTTGACCAATTATAAAGAAAGATTATTAAATAATGCACGGGACAATTGTTTAATTAAAAATTTTAAAAATTCATTAATAAAACATAAGGTTCTCATAGTTTTTTCTTAGAAACTCTTTAATAAAGTATTTTTTTTTGAAATTGGTGGGCCAAACCGCCTACGGCAGTTTGCGGTGGATAGATCTCGAAAAAATACGCGATTTCAAAAAAACATTTGTCCAAAACGGACAACGAAGTCAAAAGTTATGCCGTGCCGAACTTTTGACACTTTACACAATAATTAAATATTCTTCAATTCTATCTATTATTATTAACACTTAATTACTTTTAGATATTATTATTACCACTTATATTATTATTATTATTAGTTTCTTTTCAAGTTCTGTTAGTATATAATGGCCGTGAGGCACAATAATAATATAACAATGATTAAATATTCTTGTATTGTATTCCGTGAGTCACAATAATAATATAACAATAATTAAATATTCTTCAATTCTATATTCTTCTAGATTTCTATTACCATCATTAATTATTCCCTAATTTCTCATAATTAAATAATTTAACCAATTATAAAGAGAGATTATTAAATAATACACAGGACATTTTTTAATTAAAAAATTAAAAAATTTATTAATAAAACATAAGGTTCTGATAGTTTTTTCTTAGAAAGTATTTAATAAAGCATTTTTTTTAGAAATTAGTGGGTCAATCCTCCTACGACAGTTTGCGGAGGATAGATCTCGAAAAAATACGCGATTTCAAAAAAATATTTGTCCAAAACGGACAACGGAGTCAAAAGTTATGCCGTGTCGAACTTTTGACACTTTACAACTTAAAAAAATAATAATAATTAAAGGCCGGTTCAGCCGGCGAGGCGGCAGCTGAGGAGGCCGATTCCGGCCTTCCTCGCCGCGGCCAGCGACACGATTTTTGCAACACTGATATATAAAATAGATATAGATTAGAATAGGAATAGTATTACACAATTTTATAGTATTCCAATAAAATTTTAACCCAGAATTATTGTAGAAATCAATATATTTTATTAGGAAGAGAGATTTTTTAGGAATTGGGCGGGAAGTTAAAATTTCAGGATTTTATTTTTATATATAGTATAGATAGTATAGATTGTATTACACTATTTTTTAATATTAGAATAGAATTTTAACGCAGAATTATTGTACGAATGAGAAAGTAGAAATCAATATATTTTATAGGAAGAGAGATTTCTTAGGAATTGGGCGGGAAGTTAAAATTTCAGAATTTTGTTTTTATATATAGTATAGATTAATTTAGTTGGAGTACGTCATCATATATGTCATGAATTAAAAGACAAATTAAATTATATTTTAACTCCGATCGGTCAATCCTGTCACAGGAAGATCTGTATTACCCTCATCCTTTAATGCAAGATATGTTATGGGGGTTTGTTCACCATATTGCTGAGCCCATTTTGGGGAGATGGCCATTTACCAAGCTAATAAGAGAGAAGGCTTTGAAGATCGCCATAGAGCATGTTCACTATGAGGATGAGAACAGCAGATATCTTTGCATTGGTTGTGTGGAAAAAGTGAGTTTTTTTTTTTTTTTTTTTTCCTAAGGAAAAAAAAAGAAGAATTGTTTAAAATAATATATATGTTATGAATTATGATGTGCACTACGTACGTACGCAGGTGTTATGCCTTATGGCTTGTTGGGTGGAAGATCCAACGTCAGAAGCATGCAAACGCCATCTTGCTCGCCTTCCTGATTACTTTTGGATTGCTGAAGATGGTTTGAAAATACAGGTAACTCAAATTTTTACTATATATATATACCACCCAAATTTTAATATTGTATTATTTGGATGACGAGAAAAACTTCAGTTAGTGCCTAAGGGGTTAAGGACTTAAGGGTGTGTACTAGCCGGGATAAAGGAGGTAATCAAAATGGAACTCTTTTGATACAAGAATCATGCTCCACTTACTCAGTTACTTCTTTCAAGTTATTTTTAATTCAATTCATTATAATATTAAGTTTAGTATTAATATACAAAATTTATATATTTAGAAACTATTGTAAAAGTACTATTAAACACAAAAAAAAAAAAATGTAAAAAAAATACTAAAGAAAATAAATAAGCAAATAAGAAAAAAATTACTTTGACTAATAGAGTACTATTTATATGGGTTGACACATACATTTTTTTTACATCCTTTAGGTCCTGTGAAAAATTCAGAAAATGACTTTTGGATTTTCCAGTATTTAGGTACTCAAGGAAAATAAAGTAAGAGAAAAATATTCATTCTGGTGATCTGGTAAAGGAAAAAAGGTTCAATTTGACGGAAAAATGTCTTCCTAATTTTTTAATCGGAAGATATTTTTCGGATTATTTATTTTTCATCTTTCTTCCCCATCTTCTTTTTTAAGTTATTAGTTTCAGGATTATTATTATTACCACCACCACACCACAACAGAACCACAGCATCACCACTATCACCGCACCAACACTACCGCACCACCACTACCAACACCACCGCCACTACCGCACCACCACTACCAACACCACCGCCACTACCACACCACGCACCACCGCCATTACCACACCACCACCACTACCACCACCATCACCACCACTACTACCACCACCACCACCACCAACACCACCACAACCACTACCATCTCCATCACCACCACCATTTTCTGAAAATCATTTTACAAAAATAATTTTCCAGGTTTTCAAAGTGACCCATAATAAATAGTATATATTAATATTATTATGTTGTTTCCATATGCAGTCATTTGGGTGTCAAATGTGGGATACAGCCTTTGCTATTCAAGCAATCTTATCAAGTGATGACCTTACTCAACAATATGCCCAAACCCTAAGGAAAGGACACCACTTTATAAAAGCATCACAGGTACGTACTCTGATCTTCAACCACGCATGCAATTAATATTTCATAATCCTGATTAAGAAGATTAATTAAATTTAATTTCCCGCATGCAGTATATATGAGTAATGTTTTTAATTAACTTTAATTACTTTTTTCAATTAAATAGGTACGAGATAATCCCTCTGGAGATTTTAGTAAAATGTATCGACACATTTCAAAAGGGGCTTGGACATTTTCCATGCAAGACCATGGTTGGCAAGTCTCCGACTGCACTGCTGAAGGACTTAAGGTACTAGATAGAATTCTTCAAAATTATTTTTTCAATTTTCAAAATTTTAAATTATTTTTTAAACAATTCCTTAACTTAATTTCTTGGTTATAAATAGGTTGCCCTATTACTTTCACAACTGCCCGAAGAATTGGTTGGGGAAAAAATTGAGACTGAATGCTTGTTCGATGCTGTTAATGTCATCTTATCATTGCAGGTATGCTAATGTTGATCAAAACAAATAAATAAATATCACATATATAAAATTTATTTATTTTTATTATATTCTAAAACCTAATTAGCATTTAAATTATTATCAACATAGAGTCCCAATGGTGGTCTTCCAGCGTGGGAGCCTCAGCGAGCCTATCGTTGGTTGGAGGTGAACTATTCTAATCTCCCATCACTGTTAGAAATTATGAAATTTCCGACCACCTGTAAGTGATTTTAAATCAAGTTGAAAGCAAAAAGTGGTCGGAAATAGCAACAAAGATTTTTCCGGATACCAAAAGTGGTCGGGAAAAAGCTTTTGACTTGATTTAAGATCACTTTCAGGTGGTCAAAAATTCCATAATTTCCAGCAGTGCCTTCTGTTTTATTTTATTTAAAAAAAAAGAAGTTATATTGTAATTATGTAATACGTAAAAGTATAAATTATTCTTTGGGTCTAATTTTGTGTCCATGTGCATCAGAAACTCAACCCTACCGAATTTTTTGAAGACACTCTTATAGAAAGAGAGTAAGCATAATTTTCAATTAATTTTTTTTTTCAGTTTGAATTTATTCTATAGTCTGTAGGTTAATATTGCTCAAATAATGATCGAGACAATTTTAGTCAAGTTGGTCAAACTATTAACTTGTTAACCACAAGGTTACAAGTTGACAACCTAGCTAGGCTGATTTTCACTTTCGTGGTCCTTTACCGACTAAGGTCACAAAGCGGAATTTACCTAGTGCATAGTATTTGGTAGTGATTGCGGGTTTCTCTCGGTTAATAATAATGAATTATTTATAGGTATGTTGAGTGTACTTCAGCGGCAATCCAAGCCTTAGTGCTTTTCAAGAAGCTACATCCACGACACCGGACAAAGGAAATTGATGGCTGCATCTCCAAAGGGTTACAATATATTCAAAATACACAAAATTCAGATGGGTCATGGTACGTCGTTGTATTAGTAAATGAAAAGGAAAAAAGGAACATATATAATCTGACCACGACAGTGATGTTTGATAACATTAAGGTTTCCGAATTGAAGAAAAATAAACATTATATTATTTATGGATGCAGGACGGGTAGTTGGGGAATTTGCTATACTTATGGGAGTTGGTTTGGAGTGGGAGGGTTAGTTGCTTGTGGAAAAAGTTACAATAATTGCGAGTCTCTTTACAAGGCTTGTACTTTTCTTATATCAAAGCAATTGCCAGATGGTGGATGGGGTGAAAGTTACCTTTCAAGCTCAAGAAAGGTATAATTATTGTGAGAAGTAATGCTGATAACTTTTCTATAATGTTGTATTCTTATATTGAATTTACCTCTTAATATTTACTTTATCTATTACGACACTACTGGATTTGTTCAACTTTGCATTTTTTTTTTTTTTTTTGCATTAGTTCAACTTTGCATTTGATAACGAAGTAGGTCAATAAATATATGTGAAAGGTTTTTATTGTCACGCATGTCAGAAACATTAGAGAATAAATCTAGGAGAAAAATGACCAATCCTAACTAAGTTGATTAGGTTGTTGACTTGGTAACCACAAGATCATAGGTTCATCAACTTTCAGCATGAGTGGCCTATTGGCCTTCTTGGTTTGTGTCGGTCAGCTGTGAGCAATCTAAGATAGTTTATCTTATCGCGATGACTTGAGTCACAAGATGGGATTTACTTAATGCACACTCTCTGATAGTGGCTAAGGGTTCTTTCGTCACTCAAAAAAAAATTAAAATACTATTATCCAAAAAAGAATTTAGTTGTTTTAGCCTTTCTTCATAATTCCATTTTAATGATTTATTTATTGCAATATATAGGTGTATACCAATCTTGAAGGCAACCGCTCAAATTTGGTTCAAACATCATGGGCTTTGTTATCTCTGATTGACGCTGGTCAGGTGAGTCATCTAAGCTACTCTTGTAAATATTATAATGTTGAACCAAAAACAATCTTATGTCTATTCAATATGTGAAAAAATGAGGGGCTCTTTGTGCGCAATAAGCAAAGATCTAGCATCTGTATTCAGCTGAATTATCATGATTTACAACCTTCCAGATGTTCTGTCGGGCTGGGGCGTTGAAAGCCCTTAGTTTGGGGGCGTTGGAAGCCCTTAGGTTGGGGATTCAATATTTTGGGAACAATATGTGAAAAAATGGAAAACGTGTTTGGATGAAAAAAAAAATTAAAATGGAAATAATTTATAAATTTTATATCTCTTAAAAAAGTTGGAAAATTTGTTCACCAAGTGTGGGAAAATGCGGGGTATAGTACTCTTCGTCCATATTTTGATATTTTCCAGTGTGACAGTGCCCTTTTAAAAAGAATATAAAAAATAAAAAGCAAGCAAGACATGCTTTTTGGAATATGGAAATGAAAAAGTGAAATATGGGATTGAAGACAAAATTTTATGGTTAATTAATAATGTTCAATTTATATTTGTCAAAAATTTCAGTTTGAAATTGATCCAACTCCTATACATCGAGGAATAAAATTGTTGATAAACTCTCAAATGGAAGACGGTGATTTTCCACAACAGGTACGGCATCTTAATTATTCTTGTATTTTTCATAATAAAAATAACAATAATTACCAACTCAACACTCTGACTAATTAGGATAAAATTATTTAGCCCCACGGATTTAGCTCATTGGTTCAGTAGGCAATATTTTAAAGAAGAGATCAAAGTTCGAATTTCGACAGTGGGAGTGTGGGGATTATGTCTAAAGTGGACAGATTTCTTGTGCACACTGGCATTTGGCCATGTCTACTGAGCCATTGCTTGGTCGGGCCAGAGTTGGGGATTCAACCTTTTTGGAGAATGATAAAGTTATCCATTATTATTATTATTATTATTATTATTATTATTATTATTATTATTATTAGAGTTAATGAACGATTTGGTCCCTCAATTATTAGCGAACTGTTAATGTAGTCCCCCAATCGTTTATTTATCAATTTGGTCCCCAAAAATAATTATTTTTAGTCGATTTAATCTCTCCGGCCGTCAATTTGGTCCCCGAAAGCAATTATTTTTAGTTGATTTAGTCCCTCTGGCCATCGACAGAAGACGACCTGAGGGACTAAATTGACTAAAAATAATTGTTTTCGGGGACCAAATCGATGAATAAGCAATTGAGGGGCAACATTGACAATTTGCTAATAATTGAGAGACCAAATTGTTCATTAACTCTTATTATTATTATTATTATTATTATTATTATTATTATTATTATTATTATTATTATTATGTAATTAATTAATTAATTAATTGTGTGCAGGAAATCACAGGAGCGTTCATGAAAAATTGCACCCTAAACTATTCCTCATACCGAAATATATTTCCAATATGGGCTCTTGGGAAATATCGTCGCCGTGTGCTATTTGCAGAGTAATCATACATGCAATATTGTATTATTCATTCAATGTCTCTAATAATACATGACGAAAAGTGTAACCTTTATGCATTCATATATGTTTTATTTAATTTTAGTACTCTATCTATTATCATGTTGATTGTACCAAAAAAAAACAAAAATGTTTTATGTATAATATTGCGAGTCAAGATTTTAATTATAGTCTCATTGCCATATCAATGGTCCTCCGACTATTATAATTTTTTAAAATTGGTCCCCGTCTTTTAATTTGGACAAAAAAAAAAAAAAATCGTTGACTATGAAATTTGTTCCAACTTTGGTCCTTCCATTAAGCTTTAGTTAAATAGGCGTTAGTGTTAGGGCTAATAATGTCATTTTCTTACCTTGCTTTGTTCTTCCTCATGTTTAAAAGAGTCCATCTGAGATGAGGCACCTTTGACCACACGTATTGCCTTACTCCACTGATAGAGAAGTGTTTAAGCAGCATCTTCAAGTTAGCTCAAATAGTATGTCCGTTCACTTGTTTTGTTTATATGTTTTTCTGGTGTGAACTGGTAGCAAGCCATTTCATTCCAACTACTCTGCTGTTGAGTTTGTCTCGTATATGGATTAGGAATATGAGTTTGTCACATACTAGGAGTAGGAGTGAAACGGGTAGACCTCGTGTACAAGGATTAGATGCCTATAAATATATTGGTCGTATCCCTAAGGGGTTGTGTCACCACTATCACCATAAAAAATAATAAAAGAATACTTTCACTCCCGTGGACGTAGGCACATTGCCGAACCACATAAATCTTGCCTTCTTTACCCTTTTTGCCATTATTATTGTTTCTTGTTCCGGTTAATCTCAACAAATTGGTATCAGAGCACTGTTGAGATGGCCAGTTCAAGTACAAAATTTGATGTATCAAAGTTTGATGGTACATGGAATTTTGAGTTATGGCAGTCTAGGGTAAAAGATTCGTTGGCACAACAAAGCCTTCTGAAATCCTTGAAGGCGGAAAAGCCAGCTGATCTAGAAGAGGCTGATTGGAATTGAAGGAGTTGAAGAAGCAGGAAGCTACGGACATGGAACATGTTGATGACTCTTATTATAGTGAAGGTGATGTTCTAGCGGTAACTAGTGACAAGATCAAACATTGTTTGGATTTGTTGGGTGTTTCTAGATGCTAGATGAGAAGGTGGTGAAGGGCGCTGTAGTGTTGGGCAGCGCGGATACCAGGATGGGTCGCGGACCTGGTATGGGCTAGGCTTGTCATGAGTTACGGTTGGTATGGGCTGGACTTGTCATGAGTCACGGTTGGTATGGGCTGGGCTTGGCGTGAGTCATGGCTGGCATGGGCCGGGCTTGGCATGAGTCACGGCTAGTATGGGTCGGGCATGGCGTGAGTCACGGCTGGTATGGGCCGGGCTTGGCGTGAGTCACGGTTGGTATGGGTCGGGCATGGCGTGAGTCATGGCTGGTATGGGCCGGGCTTGGCATGAGTCACGGGTGGTATGAGCTGGGCTAATATGGCTTGGTGTGACGGATTTCTTGGGACGAAGCAGTTCGTGAACATGCACGGGAAAGCGTTTGATGCTACGTGGTGCGTGTTGCTGACCAGTGGCAATCACTGGTTAGTGGAGCATTGGGCAAGGCATACGGGTTTAGTGTGACTTTGCAGGGGCGCTGTTGTGTTAGGGGTACCGTGGATACCAGGAGTGGATATGGACCTGGTATGGACCAGATGCAGGAGGTCAGCTGAACGGGCAGTTAGCATGAGCCGCGACTGGTATAACAAGTCGACGGCTGAGGGCTAGTGGCTTGGGATGAAGCGGTTCGTGTACATGCACTGGGTAACGTTTGTTGCTGCGTATGCATGTGGCTGGCTAGTTGGGATGAGCATGATTTTTCCTACCCATGTGTATATGTGAGATAAGTCTTTTTCTCCTAAATGGCATATATGTGAAGGTGGAGATGATGAGATAAGTCTTTTCTCCTAAAGGACATATTTGCCAAAGTGGAGATTTGTTGAGTTATCTTTTCCCCTAAAGAGCATATTCACAAAGGTGGAGATAGTCTTTTCTCCTAAAGGGCATATATGTGAAGGTGGAGATGGTGAGATAAGTTTTTTCTCCTAAAGAACATATTCGTCAAGGTGGAGATTTGTTGAGTTATCTTTTCTCCTAAAGAGCATATTCGCCAAGACGGAGATTGTTGAGTTTGTCTCATATATGGATTAGGAATATGAGTTTGTCTCATACTAGGAGTAGGAGTGAAACGGGTAGACCCGGTGTACAGGTATTAAATGCCTATAAATATATTGTGATACCAAGGACCTTGTGGTCTAATGGTACCAAGTTACTCCCCTAAGTGGGAGGTGATGGGTTCAAGTCTTAGAGGATGCATAGTAGTTGTATGTTTGGGTATCCCCCTTCCTTGTAGTAAAAAAAATATATTATATTGTGATTGATTCAAAATATAATGCTGAGCATTTCAACATATGGCTCTTCTATTTGCTAAGATGCAATTTATTTGATGAAGTCAAAGTTGCCCACATACTGCTTTTTTCCATGGTTGACAAGTGAGTACACTTCCAGCTGAGCTCATTCAGCAATTTGGAACACCACTTCAATTTTTGACTCATCCTGGTTTCACTTAATTTCAGGCCAGAGACTATGGTTACTGGTCCTAATTATGAGTATGTTAGCGGAATAGTTACAATTATGGCCGAGGTGTGGCCGAGGTGAGAGGTCAAAATCTCACCAACAATTGCTTTCACGTGTGTGTGTGTGTGTGTGTGTATATATATATATATATATATATATATATATATATATATATATATATAGCCTTCAAATTCGGTGCACCCCTATATTAGATGAGCCCATGAGCCCTCATAATATCCATTGATCTTATTAATATGGATGGCTGAGATTGTAGCTAATTTATGTGGGAATTAAGGTTATTCCCCAAACACAGGGATATAAGGGTAATTGGTTGATTAATCGTATTTAATGTGTATTTTATGATTGGAAGGTGAAGCATTCTACGCATTTGGCTCTTCAATGGGAGTTAATAGGTTCTCAGCTTTACAAAGGCTGATGCACTTACCCTGGCATTACCAAGCTCTGACGAGAAGAACTAAGGACTGTAAGTGCAGAGTGAACACCAACAATCTCCGGCGACTGCCTCTGCAGGTAGGTGCGTTCCTGATATACTGCTTGTGCATATACTGCTTACTTATTGTCGTTATCAGTATAATTTGTGTGGGGTGAACGTTGTGGTGGGGTGTTGTCGTTAGATGGGCGTAGTATAATTTGTGTGATGTTTATCGCTCGTACGAGTTATAGTATGTGCATATTTGGGAAAATGATTGTTGACTATGGGGGGCATAATGTACTGTCCGGTATGTGCGTTAAGTCACCACTCAGAATGATTTAAGTTGGGGTGGGGGGATGAATGTTGAACGTATAAGGAAATCTAGCATCTTAAGGTTGGTGCATAAACGAGTAATAGCTAGTGCGTGTAAGCCACTCAGAATGATTTGAGGGGGGGGGGGGTGGGGGGATGAATGTTGAACGTATAAGGAAATCTAGCATCTTAAGGTTGGTGCGTAAACGAGTCATAGCTAGTGCGTGTAAGCCGGCAACATTTCGAATTATACATATGTGTTTGTTTTTTTTTTTGTTTTTTTTTTTTTTGTCTTCTTAGTATGGCTGGTTATATCGTATAACGTTATTAAATATGACATGTGTGGCGTGTGCGCTAGGTATGGAACAAGCAGTTGAGGCGGATCATTGTTTTATGGGTTCGTCACCGAATGGGACACAGTTTTGGTTACCGGAATGCGACCAATCCATGAAACCGGCAATAGGGCAGTTGTTTGCGACTTTGGAAGAGGGGGTTGGCTTCTACAACAACTACGCCTCTATGAGTGGCTTTGATGTGCGACGAAGTTCAGACAAAAAGAACACCCGTGGTGCGATAATGAAGAAAAAACTGGTTCGTACGCGTGAAGGTTTCAAGCAGACAAAACCAGCAGTAAGCACTAAACCAGACGCCGACGTCCCTCGAACCGAGTAACATGCATGGCTAGGATTGTGTTCAAAAGGAATAGTGCGGGCAGTTATGTAGTGAGGACCTTCGAAGAGAGGCACGCACACTACTTGTGCGTTGAGGGTTACAAACCATTCCTGAAGGTCAACAGGAAGCTGGATATTGGTCACCAACAGTTCATAACAAATTGCGCAAAGGTCAAGGTCGGAGCAAGTAAGAGTTTCGACATATACGCGGAGCTAGTTGGGGGGGGGCGGGTAGAGAACGTAGGAGCTACATAGTTGGATTTTAAGAACTACCGGAGGGATGTGTTGGCATACGTGCACTTAGGGAATTGTCAAATGGTCCTATCCAAATACCTAGATATTAAAAGCGATTACAGTGACATGTACTTCGAATACGAGGCGAACGAGGCCGACCAACTGACGCGTTTGGGGACGTTGTCTCATTTGATGCGACCTACAAAACTAATAGGTGTGTAATTGGACAAACCTTAAACCCATCACATTTTATATTTATTTCGCATGGTAACGCGTCACAATCTATTAGACTGCATATGGCACTGTCTGTGCGTAACGGGGGGAAACACTAGTGACCACCATAGTGGTTTGTGCGCGTTTGACGTGGTTGTCGCGCGACTGGTAATTTGTATGTGCATACGCAGTTGAGTTGGTGTGCTTTTCCCGTATTAGTTTACCTGTTCAACGCGTCCACTACTTACTGACTGTTTTTTTTTCCCTCTCGTGACAGGTACAACCTCGTCTTTGTCCCGTTCACCGGCATCGACAACCACAAGAAATGCATTACATTCGCAGCAGCCCTCATCTCTCGGGAAGACGTGGACTCCTACTGTTGGGCATTAAAGCACTTCAAGAGCGCTATGGGTGGGGCGCCACCTATCGCAGTGACGGATCAAGACCCTGCAATGAAGGTAGCGGTTGCGAAGGAATTCCCGGATACTCGCCACCGATATTGTTTGTGGCATATAATGACGAAGGTGGGGGACAAAGTTAGCAATGACTTGGCTAGGAACGAAGAGTTCAGAAAGGAGCTGAATGCCGTTGTTTGGAACGACACCGCGACATCTGATTATTTCGAGGTGGCATGGAACGGTGTTATTGAAAAATATGGGCTCACGGAAAATGCGTGGTTGAAGC